TCCAGCCAGGTCACAGAACTGTCCTTCCCTGCTGGGGTATCCAAGTTCTGTTGTACCAACTGTTCTCATGCCCCACCCCAGACAGTCTTCCAGGACAGGCCTGTGCCACTTTCCCAACAGCTGGTAGGGGAGCCCAGACCCATCCACTACTCCAGTTTCCAGTCCAGGGACCTTACATACAGCAGCTATGGTCTGCTTGCTCTAAGATCTTATTGCTACTTCCCTGGATTCCTTTCCTACTTTGCTGTAGCTACTGCCTACCCACCAGCTTTTCCAGCCAGAATGCCCTCCTCCTAGGGAGCAACTGTAGACTACCCAACACAGGTACTCTAAACATACCCCCCCCAACAATCATTCTAGCCTATTTCCCCTGCCAACCTTTGCTTTTTCCAGCTTCCTGGCTTTATACCAGCCCCTACTGTTCCTTCTCAGCTGTGCTCCATCATCAATCAGCCTTGCAAGCGCTGGCTCTCCCCCAGGTGCACCCTCTCAGGTTAATTATCCTGAATTAACCTGCACTGCCCTGTGTGGTGTAGAAACCTTATCACACCCCATAACAAAGAGGGAAAGCTTTTTTGCTTTCAAAGTCTGGTCTATGCTGACCAGTGCTAATTCATGTAATAACTGCTGACTTTATGGTTATTTCTCTGGTCAGAGAGGAAAATCCCGCAACAGTCATGCTGGGCAGATATGCTTTGCCTGGGCTACAGTAAAAAGCAATGAAAGATTAACAGGGCCCAGGGAGCAATATTACTTTTGTCAGATTGTATGAGAAACCGGTTATAGTCCAACTAAATCAATGACTTCCTGAGCCCGTGGCAGATTCCATAAGCCATAAAAAACTCTAACACACACATAGCTAAGCTGCATGTCAGCTGCTGTTTGATTCTGCTGAAGTTCAGCACATGAACTGCTGTAATATTTCAGTGCAAGTATAAGGCCAATAGACCTCGGGCAGGCAGGATTGAACCGGGGACCTCTGGAGCTTAGAGCATGAGCTTCTACTACATGAGCTAAAAGCCAACTTCCTGTTAGCTAAGGCTGTAGAGCAGACTCATTTTATCTCTCTCTTTAAGTGGTCTTGGCAACACCAGTTGGGACAGACCACACGGAGAAAGTGTGTGGGTTACATACTTCCCCTAGCTGAGGAATTGCATCCCAAGCTTCAGAGTCTTTCCAGCTGAAATCCCAGACGAGCCCCCACTTGTAATGCCGACAGACCCTGGTTGTCCACGGGTGGGATTGAACCGGGGACCTCTGGAGTTTAGTGCATGAACCTCTACCGCATGAGCTAAAAGCCAAGTGCCTGTTAACTAAGGCTGTAGAGCAGACTCATGTTCTCTCGCACGCTGTAAGTGGTCTCGGCGCCACTAAATGGGGCAGAACACCACACCCAGAAGGTGTGTGGGTTACACAAGCAAAACATTTCATCACTAGCTTTTGATCCCAGCTCTGCAGTGACTAGATCTAGGTTTGAATATTAAGGTATTTTTATTGCAGAATGTTTTGGTTTTTTTGGAGAGCAGGGAGGTTTCAACACTGGAATTACTATGGGATTCACTTACCCACTTCCATTCCCCCTCCCTCTGTCCTTTCTAAGATTCTACCAGCCCAGCTTCCCATGTACCAAGGGATGGATTGGACTCTCCGTAGATGTGCACAAAGTACTCACGCTACGATGTCGGACTTCACCAGAATCAGGGCATGATTCTCACTTAACTCATGACTCTTGCACTGGTCCAGCAGACCCCTGCCAGAGTGGTGTGAAGGGGCTTTAGCATACCTGAGAATCAGGCTATCCGTGTTTTTCACGTTGTGTAACAAAATCAAAATTGGGCCCATTTTTGAAGAAAATTTCATTAAGGAGCAAAAGTATGTCCAGCAAATCTCTTGCCCCTTCTGCCAGTGCAAAATATACTGAGCCCTGGGTATATTCTCTGCTGTATGGTACTTGGGTTGAACAAAGCCAAACTTTCAGATAGCCACAGCTTAGAGCCATTGTGGAATCTGTCCAGTTTCTAGCAGGGGACACCTGGGCTAACACAGGCCCATGTGAATCAGAAACACACTCATTTTCTAAGCAGTGATTCATTTTTCATTTTTAAAAATATGCAACATTTCATGCTTTTAGCATTTACTTGATGCAAAACTAACCCTTTCATTGAAACTGCTAATGAAGTGAAATGTGGGATGGGGGAAAAATTCTGTGAAATCATTTTGAAATGGCCTCTGTTCTAATTCTCCAAGGGTACCCAGCTCCCCATCCAGGTGGACAGAAGGGGACCTCATTAGAGAGCAACACCTCTGTCATCTAGAGCTGTTTTTTTTTCCTACCAAAAAAAAAAAATCACTGAAAACGATTCATGTTCTTTTTTATCAAAATAATTTGGTCATTCTTCAAAAATCCAGACCCCAAAATGTTAGGCTTTAGTTGCCAAAAACTGAAAAGAAAAACAAACAAACCACATTTCAGGTTTGCAGTTTTTTGACAAAAACCCAAGAGCGTTTTTTTTTTTAAAAAGATGTTTATCATGAATTTTGTCAAGAAAGGCCATTTGCCATTAAATCTTTAGCCAGGTTCTTTGACTATTAACCGGCTCCTGGAGAAGTAAGAAGTAATGGACAGTGCAGTATGTCAATGCTTTATTGTAACCTTGCCTTAATGAAACGTTTCCAAAACAAAAGTTTCAACTAAACGTTTTGGACCCTTCTGCTGCACAAAGAGAGAGGCCTGAGTGTGCTGCCTTTGCAGATCTCATGGCCCCTTTGTCCTGGGGAGAGGGAGAGACTCATTGGAGCTAGGTTCCCCTTTATTCAAATCCACCATAAGCAGGCATCCTCCCTAAAAAAGCTCCTTGCCCCTTCCTGGGCTGAAGCTGCACCTCCGTATCATGGTATATTGGGGAGTAGCGTCTCCTTGGGACTCATTTGCAGGAGAGGCTATAAGAGCGACTCTTGCAAACCCGGGCTCAAGCCCTGATGTGCTGAGAAAACCTGGGGTCTGCTCAAGGACTTGATGGATTTTACTGTCTCTTTGATTTGAGAGCCAATGTGTTCTCCTTTCTGAATCAATTCCTGGCCTCTTTGCCAGCACCGACCCTCTGCAGTGCTTAATACCTCACCCTGAAAAATGCCTTTTCTATTGTTTTTAACCTTGTTAGCTACCATCAAATGTTTTGGAAGAGGTCCATTTGCTGTAAAATTATCCCGGGTTTTTCTCTCTGTTGCCCATGAGGATCCGTGGCAGGGTTCTAAGCCCCAGCTTAATAAACCGCAGTCTCATTGTCGGCTTGTGGTAATGTTTGCTTTTTCTACCCACTTGGGGGCTTGTGTGTGGCAGTGGGGATGTATCTAGCTGCAGCTGCTGGCATGCCTGTAGGCAGTGTGCATCCCCTCCCCTGCTCCTGTGTGATGTGTGATGAGTGAAGGAGGCCACACCTTCACAGATGGGGTGAGCTCTGCCCAGGGCTGAGAGAATCCCTGCATTTGTCACCACTCATCTCCCATTCAGGCGTAATCGATATATGTATTTCAACCTCTCTTTCATTTACAAACTCTTATTGAAACTCTGCTTCCTACCTGGATTTGTTCTCCAGAGAACTAAAGCAAATGTTTCTTAAACAGCTATGACCATCTTTGTTTCTGCTTGAATGTGTTCTGGTAGCGCTCCCCAGCCAGAGGTCCCAGAGGCTTTGAGCAGACGGACTTTTGAAGAACTGAAGGCAGCTATGAGTAATAATGAATGACTATAAGAGTAACAATAGCAGTTGTGTAGTGCTTTTTCATGTTCAAACCCTTTACAGATATTATCTAATTCATTAGTCTTCAAAGAGCCCTGTGCATTAAGATAGGTGTATTAGCATTGTTATCCTCATGTTACAAAATGGGAAACCATGGCAGAAAGATTAAAGCCAGCCTTAGCCACATAGCTACTGATTCAGGGTGTTTCAGATTTGAAATAATGGGGGCCTGCTATTCTAAGATGCTGAGTATCTGCACCTCTGGTTTTTTAATCATTTGTCATCTCTAGATAGACACCCAAAAACTTTTGGCATAAATGACTTGATTAAGGCCACCAGATGAATCCAAGCTGGGATTAATGGTCAGGAGTTCTTGGCTCCCAGTTCTGTGATCAGATCTCTCTCTGAAGTGTGCTCATTCCTGGAAAGAAAATATGGCACCAGTGTGTCCTCCCATTGAAGGTATCCTCCCTGCCATGGAGCCATATGCAATAGCAGGGGACATTCCATCAAAGGACCTTGCCTGGTAGCTCAGCTTGTAGCATAGTGCTCGGTCATGGATTTTGCATTCTTCATGCTACCACCTTCTCTTGGTCGTTCTGAATTCTGTGTGCCCTGGAGACTGAAGCCCTCTGTTTATTGTTATGGTTTAACCCAACCCTCTTTGCAACTCAGGGACTGGAACCCCTGTCCTGCATTTAAGATAGTTGTAAGAAGCCATTAAGCTCCTATATGTAACCAGGTAGTTGAAACAATAGGAGCAACGCCCAAAACACGAGCACTTGGCAAGGCTTGAGTGGAAGCTGATCCAAGGGGTTTCCCTAGGGACTGATACAGAAAGCACAGGGGCTAGGACATTGGGACGGTTTGTCTGGGTGTCTGTGAGAGAAACAGCAGAAAGGTGAGACACACTAAGAGAGAAGGCAGTGAGGAAGCACCAGATCTTGCCCCAGAAGCACTAGGAGTGTGCCCCTGAGGAAAAAAAAAGAGAGAGAGAGTGCTTTGGAGCAGAGTGTTGGCTGAAAGAGGCTTGCAGCTGTGGGCAAAGAAACTATATCCTGTTTGATTGAGGTCAGGAAAACAGGATTTTGTACATTCTTTGTAAATAAATAGGGTTGCATCATACTCTGACTACATTAGTTTCTCCCCTAACAGAAACAACCGACAGGGCCCAGAACTTTGGCTAACCACTCAGGTCAAGAAGGGGGAGGGGGGAGAGTGTAACAGTATTATCCTTAAAAAGAACAGGAGTACTTGTGGCACCTTAGAGACTAACAAATTTATTAGAGCATAAGCTTTCATGAGTTAGAGCCCACTTCATCGGATGCATAGAATGGAACATATAGTAAGAAGATAGATATATACACACAGAGAAGGTGGAAGTTGCCATACAAACTGTAAGGGCTAATTATCTGAAACCTGTCATTATTATCCTTGGAACAGCTGCACAACTTTTCCAAACCAACGTTCCTGCATGAAATAGGCTTCAAACCTGAGCTGGATGGACTGTGCTCTTGTGAATTGGGGAGTTCAGTCTCCATGGCCCATCCAATCCTTGGCTCATGCTGAGTTTGCCAGCAAAGGCATCAATTATTGCCAAGTGGGGTGATTTTTTGTGTGAGACTTGAAGACCTAAATAAATGGCCCTCTATTAGTTGCACTTAAACCAATTGCCGTAACGTCTCGTCCCGGTCTTTGTTTCTCTAGTGAAAGGTCATCCTCTTTACCATTGTGGGACATGGTGCGTTGCTGCATTCTCACCATTACGGCTTTCCATTTGGTTTGTTAATTTAAGTTGGTCTGAGATTAAACTGCCCCAGAGCATCCCAGCTCTGTTGTTGACATGAACTCATCTGCATTTACAGCCAAATTAGTGCAAATAGAAAAGCCTAAAAATAGAAATTGGGGAAGCCCGATGAACAGGGATCTTCCTGCCATCTTCAGTACACAAAACTGTTGTTCTCCTGCTTGGCCTCTTATTCCCCTGGGAGCCTCTCTCCATCATCTGTGACATGGTTATTCTTCTAGGTATTATTTATTCATCTAGAAATAAATGGAACAAAACAGACATGGCCCAAGTGCAAACAACACACAGAAATAAGGCTAAGGATCTTTGCCCAACGCTTGTCCTTCCTAAGCATCAGGTGTGTGTGTAAGACTGAGGAAAATGTTTCCACAGCTGAGCAGCCTTTCACAGTTTGCTCAACAGTTCCAATGATCACAAAGGATTGCAGCTGCTTACACTCTGAAGGGAGTTCAGTACAGGAGAGGCAATGAGAGAGCTTTGTATTAGAGTGAGGGTAACATTATCAAAAGCATCTAGGTGACTTAGAAGCCTAAGTCCCATTTTCAAAAGTGACTTAGATGCTTAGGAGAATTTTTCATTTCTCAAGAACCATTTTGGGTAAAAAGTGTCGATTTTTGGTAAAAGTTTTCATTTTTGAAAAGCAGAAACTTTCTACCAAAACCTGAAGGTTTTTAATCAATGATTTTTTCTGGTTTTTCAATGAAAAAAAATGGAAATTTTCAACCTAAATGGAAATTTTCCACAATAAAACCCTTTTTCATTCAAAAAATTCTTTTGACAAAAAAAGGTAGATCTCAGCTTTGTCAGGAGCTTAGTTCAACCAGAAGAATAGAACATTACCTGGCAAAAACTAATGTGTTTTCATAATGGGCCAGAACCTCAGCTGGTGTCAATGGAGCCATGCTGATTTATTCCACCTCAGATTCTGGCCCAGTGTTTCTATGTTCCCCTTATCAGTACTGATAATAACCTGTACTTCTCACCCCAAAGCCCCTGAAATGTACATGGGTCCAATCAATCTAGAAGTCCTTATTTAGACAATGGAAGTTTTGTCTTCAGGACTGACCCACTAATAAAGAATATGAGAATCTCTTCAATACACTACCCGAGATCTGATACGTCCCTTAATCTGATAGTTGCAAAAGTTTCATCAGCCTTTGACTGGTGCTGGCTATTTGTATTTTACATAGCTGAGGGATGAAACCCATTACACAGCAAGAATTAAAGCAGCTAGAGTTTTAGCTCCTTAGGTCTCTCTATTCAAATATCAAATCAATTCTTGATTGATCCTTGTAGCTGCTGCTTGTGTCTCATGTGGTTGTGTTCTGAATGTATGCTGTTTTATTCAATGTTTGTTTGGTTGTGTCACTCTCCTAACTAATGCCACACAGGGCAGGTCAAAGCCATGTAGTCCAAGTCAATAAATTAAATGAGAATGTATTTTCAGGTTTCAGAGTAACAGCCGTGTTAGTCTGTATTCGCAAAAAGAAAAGGAGTACTTGTGGCACCTTAGAGACTAACCAATTTATTTGAGCATGAGCTTTCGTGAGCTACAGCTCACTTCATCGGATGCATGCCGTGGAAACTGCAGCAGACTTTATTTATACACAGAGAATATGAAAAAATACCTCCTCCCACCCCACTGTCCTGCTGGTATTTTCAGTCACTTCTGCTCATTGAAGATTTTAGTTGTTTAAGCAGGTGGAGATGCAGGTCAGACTGGCCCTATGTTGGCCAGATCAGATGTTAAGTAATATCGATACACAACACCCTGTGAGATGGTAGGTACTATTAACTTTACTATTAACTTTACATAACTCACCCAGTGCCACAGAGCAAGTCAGTGGCAGAGCCTCCTTTGCTGACAAAGACAAAATCTCTCTTTCCTCTGAAACAGAAGTGAGATATTAGTGGGAATCTAGTAATTACACCATTTCTGCCAGAATATATGCAGGGCAATCAAGTTCACTGGCTTCATGCAGGCTACCTGATGACTAATCTGCCTTCTTCCTGAGTTTATCCACCCTGAAACCAGATCTAGCTCCACGCCAAGGGGAAGCATCTTCTGTGATTAATTCTAATGTGCTATTGTATTTATTTGTAATAAAGACTTCACAACTTCCAGCCAACCAGCCCTGCAATAATCACTGGTGAATCAGAGCTGGGCACATGCTCCAAAAAAAAACCCCTTCCCCCAGAATCCATTCACATTTCTGAACGGATTTGCTTTGACCTTTCTCTGTTCACATTCTCTGATTAGTCTACTAGTGGGAGCTGGTAAGGATGTTGTTTGGGAGGTGGGCCCTGGGTCAGGGTGAGGGGATGTAGTGGGGCAGCAGGGGGGTTGTTGAATCTGGACTGGGACATGGGCTGCTGGGGTCTGGGGTAGAGAGAGAGGTTGCTGGGTTAAGTGGTGCTGGGCTTCTGAGAGGTGGTGAAGGTGCTTCCCTCAACTCTTCCGCGCACCTGCGCAGCAGTCTTCTCTGGGGCAGCACCACTTCACGAGCCTGTGGACAAGCTTCTCTTACAAGATGCTGAGAGCCTCCTGTGAGCTGCTGAGGACCCTACACTCCCATTGTACCCAGTGAGAGTTCTATTCTATTCTGATACCATGCTCATCATCTTAGTATCTGAGCACCTTCCAGCCGTAACTTAAGCAATGGGACGAGCACCTGTCAGGTGTTTATTGTGTCATCCATTCCCCAGGAAGAGGGAGACGTGTGTGCAGTGGAGTATTTTATTTGGAATTTTATGTGTGTATGTGTATGCACACGCAAAATTAACCAACAAGATCACTGCAGCACAGTGTACTTGCAGCGAAATGCTGACAAACAGTCTCCAGACAAAGAGTTAGTCAGACAAGCCAGTCAATGAGTAACGGCAAACCACAAATGGATTGAAGAAAATTGGGTTTTGCTTGTGGACAAACCCCATGAAAGAGGTGAAATTCACTCAATACTTATGGGGGGCGGTTGCAGGGGAGGTACACCCCATCAGCCCTTTAGGGCAGTATGGCCTCACAGCCAGAGTCACTAAGGCAGGCCTAGGCTCCAGGGCAGGAAGGTCTAGTAGCCAAAGTCTAAGTAGCAGCCCTTCTTCTCAGGGCAGTATGGCCCAGTGGCCAGAGTCTATGTAATGACCTTCAGCAGCCCGATTCATCTCCTCACTTGCCAGCAGTGTGTGCACATCAGGACGGATGGAGTAGGGGGCCTGCACTCACTCTTCTCCACTGGGTCCTAACCCAGGACGCTAGGGAACCAACTGCGCACTGCTCGGTCTCAGTCACCCATTTCTACCATCCCATTCCAGGCCACCTCATACCCCATCTTCCAATGCAGGAGCTCCCACAGCAACCGCAGTCTAGCCTCTGTCAGCCTTGGCAGGGGTTCAGTAGAGACACCAACCTGGCTAGCATCAGCATCTGGTGCCTCCGGCAATCTCCCAGCAGGAGCCTGCAGCACACATCTGCTCTCATGGGTGGTCGGCCTAGACTGAGCGGAGCTCCTCCCTCTTGTACTGTAGTTCCAGTTGGAGCATGCCCAGCAGGGGTGAGAGTGTGTGGCTTCCTCAACCCATAGCTTGGAGTTAATCCCCTCTAGCCCAGTGTGGGTAGGTACACCCATTACAGGGGGTTCACAAATAATTTACAAATAATTCTGTGGGGTGTATACTGAAATTAATCATGGATAGTTCAAGACTAATGAATCTCACTATAAACTCTGTAGTACAGAGCCCCAGCTGATATAAATTGGCCTACAGTTTACATCAGGTGAGGATCTATATATTGCTAGTTTGGAAAAGATAGCATGTATTATTATCACAGACAAGAGTACGTGGAAGCCAACCCAAAGACTTTCATGAGGTCAACCATTGTTTTAATTCATGCCAAAATAAAAAGTTTTCTTTAATAAGAGTGAAAAATGTAATGACAGCAAACATAAATAAGACCATTAGAGGCAGCTAAAATATACCCCCATTGCCTTATTAAAGCCTGTAAATCAACCTGACTGTATTGAGTCACATGCAATGCCTTGGCACATAATAAATAATCAATGCTACCCTGGGAGTTTGTCCATACACAGTGCTCCCTCCAGTTATGAATTACCAAGTGATTGTTTTTCTGGAACTGAGTGTGGTTGCTTTTCTCTGAAATGATCAGATAGACCGCATATTTGTGAAATCACAGTAAAGCAGAAGAGGCTACAAAAGGACAAGCTATTTCTTGGCCTCATGAGAAGCATAAAGAAAAGGAGTACTTGTGGCACCTTAGAGACTAACCAATTTATTTGAGCATGAGCTTTCGTGAGCTACAGCTCACTTCATCGGATGCATATTGTGGAAAATACAGAAGATGTTTTTATACACACAAACCATGAAAAAATGGGTGTTTATCACTACAAAAGGTTTTCTCTCCCCCCACCCCACTCTCCTGTTGGTAATAGCTTATCTAAAGTGATCACTTTCCTTACAATGTGTATGATAATCAAGGTGGGCCATTTGCAGCACAAATCCAGGTTTTCTCCCCACCCTCCCCAACAAACCCACTCTCCTGTTGGTAATAGCTTATCTAAAGTGATCACTCTCCTTACAATGTGTATGATAATCAAGGTGGGCCATTTCCAGAACAAATCCAGGGTTTAACAAGAATGTTTGAAGGGGGGGGTAGGAAAAAACAAGGGGAAATAGGTTACCTTGCATAATGACTTAGCCACTCCCCCCCCTTTCTCAGACGTTCTTGTCAAATCCTGGATTTGAGCTTATGCTCAAATAAATTGGTTAGTCTCTAAGGTGCCACAAGTACTCCTTTTCTTTTTGCAAATACAGACTAACACGGCTGTTACTCTGAAACATGAGAAGCATAAAGATTCAAATAAATAATCCTGTTCTAAGTGCTGTTCATCTGGGAATTAAATACCTTTTTTTTTTGAGGGAGGGGGGGAAAGGGTGGTAAAAGTTGGAATAAAAATATACTAAGGTTTGACCCTGTTGAAGCAGAAATCAGATTGCTTTAGACATACTGAAATGACACTATATAACGCCTCCTTTAACAGGAGTTGGCTAGCAAAATTTTCCTAAGAAAAGGCAACTCATTTAAACGTTTCTGAGTCTTATGCTGAAGGTGCCGAAGGCTCTGTTATGAATCTGGCTACCTCCGGGATAATGTATAAATAATGTATAGTTATTTTAGTATAAAATGCACAAAGGGACACTATTTTAAACAAAGGCATAAAAACGAAAGAGTTCCTTGAATTCAGCCTGAGGCTCAGTCAAGATCCAGATCCTCTTTGGTTGACCACTTTCCACAAAGCTGAATAAATGCTTTTTAAAAGCCTCCTCAAAGAGCTGGGCAATGTCTTCAAAAAATGTAGTTTTTAATGCGTCTATTAAAATAGTGCAACAAAAGGTTATCCTGGCAGCACTTTTATCACCCGGTCTTTGCATTTTAACAGAGCATCAAGAGGAAAAGTCTCTGGATAATCGGAACTAATTCCCCTTCCTATCCTCAGGATACAAGGATCTATCTGTCTGTCACCATGAGTATTGTTCTCCCGCTTCACCCAAGAAATTAGCCAGTATTCAGGGCCTAACTAGGTTTGTTTTCGGATAGTAGGCGAAATTGAGGAGGGGAGTCAGGTATTTCTTTAATTTGATGCAAACTAAGTGCGGTGTCTGTGAACGCAGTAGAAACAAACGGCAGGAGCCCAGGTCCTGGGTCAGAAATCCGCCGGTGCCTTTCCCCCAAGCACTCGGCTCAGAAGCTCTGCCCCGTGGCTTCAACCCAGGGCCATGCTCACAGCTGCTTCTCCTGCCTCCCCCCGGCTTGTCTGTCCCTTTCACCCGGGGCTCGTCTCCACTGCAATGTTCGCTCACGGCGTAACTCCGTTTTTGCCCCTAACCTGACTCCTACCCCACCGCCCCCCAACCTGCCGCTTTAGTCCAGTGCTTTAAGGTGGAGCTCGCTGGCTCGTTTGGAGGGCCCGGGGGGGAGGTGGGGGGAGAGAGAGGCTCACAGGCTGCCGAAACTTGAGCTCGTAACCCGGTGGGGAGGCAGCCGCTGGAGTCACACCCGCTCCGCCAGTGCCCTGCTCCGCTGTCGTACTGCAAGGGGCCCCCAACAAGCCACCTGGTCCAGTCCCCGGCCCCCAAGGCGGGAGGCGGTAATAACGAGACCATTCATAGCCCCCGCCGCGGGCAACCAGCCCCTGCCTTTGCCAGCCTCCTGGGGACGGGGCGGGGGGACTGCTGGCCACCTGACCCAGCTTCTGCTCAGGCCTTGCCAGGCTGGCCTTTGGGCGCTCACTCAGCCAAGGGGGCACTGAAGTGCTCCCGTCCCTGGGCTGGGCTGCAGGGTGCTCGGCGCAGGCCTGGGCAGTGATGGCCTCTGGCGCCTGCCCTGGCCTGTGTCCCGGCCCCTGTGCAGCTGTCTCTGGGGGTGAGCTCCGGCCGCAGGGGCTTGTGCCGCAGGGCTGCAGCACGCCGGGGGGCGGCTCCCTTCCCGCCGGCCCGGGCCCGCTGCCCGGCGGGGTAGGGCAGCCGCGGGCGCTGGCGAGCCCAGAGCTCGGCTCCGCCTCCCGCCCCGGCTCGCCGCGGAGCTGTCCAGCGCTGGGTGCTGAATCCGCCGCTCGCCGCTGCCGGAGCGCGGCTGGCCCGGCTCGGCGCAGCCCCGCCGCTCCCTTGGCCCCCGCTCCTCCCCGCTGCCCGGCCCGGCCGCCCCCGGAACAGCCCGGGCTAGGGGGGCTTGGCAAGTTCAGCCAAGCCCAGCCCGGAGCCTGCTGAGCCCCGCGAGCTGCGGCCGCTCGCTGCCCCTTCGGCCCCCGGGCTCGGAACTGCCCGCCTCCCGCCGCCAAGGCTGCACCCTGTCTCGCAGCCACGGCTCTGGCGGGAGGAGGAGCTGCCCGGCAGCCTCACGCCCAGGGGACTGCAAGCGGAGAAAGCCCGGCTCCGCTGAGATCCGAGGGGGGAAACTTTGCTACTAGCCGCGTAAACCAGAAAAAGTGCAAGAGAGAATATTTACCAGGTCCTAGGGCAGGGGAGCAGCAGCTGACCCGAATCCCTTGCAGTGCATTTTGTTTAGTGTGTGTGTGTGTGGGAGAGACAAAGGACTGCTTTATTCCACAGCCACTCCGCGTCTGGGCTGCTGGAAACTGACATACTGCTTCCGCCTTTGCACAGCGCTTCACCGAGCCCTGGGCAGCGACAGGAAAGCTTTGCTCCGAAGTCAGATTCCTGACAAAACCCTGACACCCCCCAAAGCGTGAAGCTCTGGCAGTGGCTGACTCAGTTTCGCTCGGCAATAACAGCACGTCCCCCACCAGCGATTCCTGCTTTGTTGGGGTTACGCTCCTGTGTGTTCAGGAAAAGTGCCAATGAAAATGGAAAAGTCTGGCGGCAGGCTCTGAAAAGGGTGGGAGAAGCCACGGAGGAGAGTGGTGCTGTTGTGGATATACAGGACAAGAAGTGTTGCCCTCTCTGCTCCAGTGAGTCGTATGGCTTGAAGGTAAGACTTCTTTTTTTTCCTTCTCAAATAATATGGATGGTACAGATACCATGAGGAGGAGATGGACAGGCAGAACTAAGGTTTGGACTGGGGGTTTTACTTTATTTCTCCAAATTTCAAAACTGCAGTGAAAATTCTCTTCTCAATTTGAATCAACCCCCACACCCCAGCAAAAACCTAATTATTCATGATTCCCCCCCACCCCGTTTTCAACCAGCTCGATGGATAAACCACAGTAAGATGCACTTATTGTTGCCAAAGGAACACACTGTTCTCATTAGAAGTGTAATGCTTAATTTCTCTCTCACACACATGAAACAAACCAACAGGGCAAACTCCCAATGAAAATGCTTAGACAGAGAACACATTTAGGGTTCACTCTGGCCCCCTGGATGCTGCTGTCATATCCCAAAGATAAAATTCTAGGTTTTTAAGGAAAAAGGTTTTTTTTCCCCTTATGCCACTTTGTATTTTACCTCAAGTCAGAGCCACATCATCCCTTATTTATTTCTCAGCACAATAAATGAGGCAGATCTTTAGGATGAATAATCTTTTTGAATGATGGAGGGGGGAAGTTGTCTTCTTCACCTTTTCCTGAATGAGGTTGGAAAAACAGATTGTTAAAGCTATTTCCTCAAAACATTGACAGTAGTTGTTGTGGACAATTTACAGTGGCTTGTGGGGAATGAACCCGTCTTCACTGTTATGTTGATACTTATGTCTCTGCCACTCTGCTATGGGCTTCATCTGACTTCAATGGGAATCTTTCCCGTGACCTCAGTGAGAGTTGTATTGGGCCCTATCTGCTGCATTCCTGATAGAGCATTTTTGGCCAAGTTGCTGGGTGTAAATGGGTTATACACAGGTGGCCCTTCCTTGTACACTACAATTAAATCTCGGTCAGGGTAGTCAAGATGTAAGATATGGAGCAAAAGTACAAACAGTATGTTAGGATGTGGATTATGCTCTGCTGTCCATACAAGCAAAGTTTAATAATTTACAAATAACCAACTAAGAAATGATACTATCCCTTGCCAACACAGGTTACAGGTGTAGTTCACTGCAGAAGACATTGAATACGTTTTTAGCATCTACACATTTGATTTAAGTGTCATTCCTTAGTCACCCCATGGTCTTAACAATGCACAGGCTTATATTAAACATTTACTTTGGAAAGAATAAAAATACGTATGGGTTGCTCCTAGCCACTCAAAATAAGTTGGCCACTTATTTGTGCTACTGCTCTTTCCCTAAAAGAGGAAAGTGTGATAAGCAGTTTCTGAGTAGCATTGACCAAATCTGACCAGTTTATTGCTGGGGTATATTCTTTTTCCATTCTGTCCGCTTCATTTTCACATCTCTGGAAATTCTGTTATCTCTGAATCTCCATTCTTCACCTTGCCTGCATCCTAATCAAAAACTGTTCACCTGAAAGCAAACTTTTCTTAAATTACTCCTGTGTTCATTTATGAACAAAGTGAATCTCTGTCACAGGCTCTGTCCCTGTAGTGAAAGGCACAGATGAGCTACAGATTGAGAGCATTAAAAACAATTATACTGGTGAAAGTCAGGCAGAATAACTCTTAAAGTCATTGGAATTACACTGGTCTAGGGTTTGGCAGAATCCCTCTTATTGGAGTTTCTGTTTCTACTCACACCTAAGTTAAACACGTCTAAGTTTCCTGTGTGATGTATCACATAATTCCATGGTATGTCACACTAAGTGCCATATGTATGTGTATACACACACACACACATACCCATGTGCATGATAGTCTGACATTTCAGATCATATTCAGGCATATCTTTATGCCCACATGCATGGTGTGTATATGCACAATATGGCTTCAGCATGACATGCCACATTAATCTTATGAGATACTTCATGGAATGATCTGACACCCCTTTGTTACCGTAAGGATTACTGCAGGATCTTAGCTATTGTTCCAGAATGAGGGTAACATGTTACCACTTAAAGAACAGGGGGGCTTTATGCACAGCTGCTGTTTTAAGACCTTGGATGTGGTTAGAATTTTTTAAACCATTGGTATCTTCTGAAAAGAAGATTTTTCTTCATACTTCAGACAGATTCACACAAACCCCCACAGAAACAGAGTGACTCTGGGTTAATATTCAGTACCATTTATAGGGTGGTCAATATACACTGACTACTGAAGCAAACAGCTCACATTTTATTCATTTATTCACATTTTATTCATTTATAGTGTCATTTACAAGATGTGTTAAAGGCAGGATTGTGCAACATGGCCTAGATGCCTGTGAAAGAGTAGTCAGAGGGTATAAGGATCTCTGGCCCCCTTATATGGGCTACCCAGGTCCAGGCACATACACATTTGCCAGGATCCTCATTTAACTTACTGCTTCCTGACTGGGACAAGTGGCCAGGGGATGACTCCTGCTTTTTGGTCACTGGCTGGAGTAGCCAAGTCCACAAAGAGGAAGATGGTAATCTGCTGCTGCTATAGACCAGTGGTGAACAACAACTAGTGCCTAGGAAAATGCAGGAGGGGAGCTGAGGCTGACAGGGTTGCCCCAGTCAATGCCTCCATGGGCTACTCCTGCAGTAATGCAATTCTGTGCAGGGTTTTGCCAAAAGCCACAATCTAACCCAAAGCAATTCTATACTTGCTCCTCCTTTATGAGCAGAGGCAGCAGGATTTCCAAGTATTCTTTCCAAGGTGTGTCTTGGAATCAGTGATTTGTCAGCACAGGTGGCTTCCAGAGGTCCAAAAGTCTTGAAACGTCTCTCATGTACACCCGTGTAAATCAGGAGTGAACCAATTGAAATGAATGGAGTTACAGCAGTATAGAAGTGGACCCAGTATCTCCAGTAACTCATTAGAGCAAAGATGAACTTCCACATATACCCAGAGATATCACGAAGGCACCGTAGCTTACTTCCTCTTCAGTCTTTATACACTAGGAAGGAAGCAGGTAGAATAATTAAACAAAGCCTTTCCATCTCAGCTATAACATCAGAAGCTTAAATTCTCATCTGAATAGGACAATTGGTTTGGCAGTTGGCTTCAGTGGATCATTGTCATGGGATGGTTAGCACCAGAACCATGACTGGGTCCCTACCAAATTCACAGCCATGGAAAAAAAACAAAACAAAACACACATCATGGATGTGAAACCTGGTCTTGGGTGCTTTTACCCTATACTATACAGATTTCACATGGGAGACCAGCATTTCTCAAACTGGGGGTCCTGACCCAAAAGGAAGTTGCAGAGGGGTCACAAGGTTATTTTAGGAGGGTCACGGTATTGCCACCCTTACTTCTGTGTTGCCATCTTCAGAGCTGGGCAGCCGGAGAGAGAGTGGCAGCTGCTGACTAAGGGCCCAGCTCTGCAGGCAACAGCAGAGAAGTACGGGTGGCGATACTCTACCAGGCCATCCTTATTTCTGTGCTGCTCCCAGGCAGCAGCCACCACTCTCCAGCCAGCCAGCTCTGAAGGCAGTGCAACCACCAGCAGCAGCGCCAAAATAAGTACAACCCCCGCCACACCCCCCCCTTTATACTGTCATGAAAGTTACTATTCTAAAAATCCTGTGACTGAAATTGACCAAAATGGACTGTTAATTTGGTAGGGCCCAAATCTTGACTATTGAGCAGCTACAAGCTAATTAGACCCTCCCTTCTACTCCCTCAATCCAGAGTCAGTTTAGTCATTAATGGTCTCATTCTCCACTGTCCTGCACCTTGTCCAGCCGTTTGCACCTGAGCCAAGTGTAGCCTCTTTTTAAATTGAATGAGCAGTTTGGTGTTAAACCAGAGTGGGGATTCAGCTCCTGTTACAGTTTCAAGCTCAACAGGGTGAAAACCACCTTCAGTGGTTCTCACATCGGGAGGCTCCTTGACCACACAAAGGCCAAGGACAGTGACCACAAACACAATCACAGGTATAAGTTACTGTACTAACAGGTTTTATTAAGGAAATAATTAAAATGACAATCACCCATTGGTGTGAAATGCTACCAAATCAGCATTTTAACATTCAGTTTGCATAGATGTAAATAGGGTGAATGAAATAGGGTGCAGAGCAACAGAAAAGTCAAACCCTCTATTTTCTCTAATAAAGCAGACATAATAGGAAAATTATGGGAGGTGTAGCATGTTCTCTTCTTTAGCTTCTTTCATAGGAAGGTAAAAGTTAAGGGACTCACCTCCCTATTCAATTTTATATCTTTAAAGGAAGGTTTGGAGTTTCATAGAGTAATATTCTGATTTCAGAGGCAGCTTGGAATGAAATCTTTCAATCCCTTTCCATTTAAGGATCAACCAACACCTTACTCTCAGAAGCAGTTATTGTCTTGGATGCCTCAATTTTGATTCTTCAACATTTTATTCATGTGCGTTGGTCATACCACGAAACCTCATGCTATTGGAAGGAGAATCTTTAATCCTATTGGACAGATAACAGTCTCTCTACTTCAGATAACAACCCAGATGGTCCTTTGAGTGGAGGATCTAGATACACCCAGATATGGATTGACTTATGTCAAAGCTTCCCTCAGTCTCTACCATTGGCATCCAAAAGTGTTAATAGGAACTCTTTACTGTAGCCAATTTGAAATAGTTGGTTCCACAACACAGAACATCCAGTTATGGGAAAAAAATCTCCAGAAGAGACTAGAATATTAAGCTACATGGGAACCTATTTACAAACTTTGCAGAAACAGAGACTAGCACTTATAAGCCTGATCTCCTTGCTTCCTGGTACAGCATAGCAGCCAAAGCATGTTCTTGCTTTATCCTGCACATGCTAATGCTAAATCTACCCTTCTCTCTGACCTCTCTTCACCTAAGCTACCTTGTCATTTTAAACTTAGTGGATGAACACTGCTTACTTGGGCCCTGATATAGCAAAGCATTTAAGCATGCACATAACATCAAATGCATGAGTAGTTCTCTATGCACCATCCTATAGGTAGGAGTGGGACTGAAATGTGCCTTGACCTTGTATTGGTCCTCTGA